TGCCGATCAGATATTAGACAAATACCTGAACGCTGTTTGACAACGTGCTCTTTCAGGTGGTTCAAAAACAACATCCACGTCTCTGTGCTTTCATTAGCGCAAATAGCAAAAGCTAGAGGAAATATCTGTCCATTAGCATCCACTGTCACGGTTATCAATAGCTTGATATCGCACTTTCCATAGACATGAGTTCCGTCTATGGATATTACGGGCCGGCAATGCGAAAAACCATCAATTGCTGGCTTAAACACCCAGAACACGTAATTGAATATGTATTCTGGTGTTCCCGAACTTTGATCAAGCTTCCATTCAACAACTGTCCCGGGGTTAAAGTGCTGCAGTGCGGCCATGTACTTTGGCAGAGATGCAAATGACTTATCCGAATACCGTACACAATTTCAAACGCTCGTTTACGCCCGAGAAATGCCTTTCTTTTCATAATGGTATGACCATATTCCTGGTGGACTGATATAATGCACTATTTGATTGTATACCTTATGGACGCTTCGAGGTGTGGAATAAGTACAAGAGAAATCAAGTCAATATCCAAGTTGAAGTGATTCCCGTTGAATGTGTCCATTTCGCATGTGTGGGTGGGAATGTATTTACCCACTTTCCACATACCTGTCTTCTTCTTGGTCGCACGCAACATCCAATTACATGGCCAAAACCACCTGCGGCAAACAACCTTGTATACCATCGGACTTGACTCCCATACCTGCATCTCACGACACTCTTTTACGTTGTTTATTTTACAAGCCCTGTTTAAGCACGCTTTATCAGGAAAAAGCATCCCCTTTGCAAGCACCGTTGGTCTAGACTCGTCCCACATTGCTGTTCGGATTTCATCAAAATCCCTTTGAGAGCTTCCACATCCGACACGGTTGACAAGCTATCAATGTAAGAAATCTCCCTTGAATGAAACGACACTTCGGACTCGTACACTCTTCGTCTAGGGGGTCTCTCTTCAAATCAAATCCTTCCTCCTCATTCTGCTCATCACCATCTTCACGAAAAAGGGTGTCTCGTCTCCGGATTTATCGACATTGTTATCGAAATCACTGTTCTGTTCTTCACTCTGTGTATCTGCCAGATCCCGATGTAATACGCCGTTTTCGGTCAATTGAGTGAGTACGGGTGGTTCAACTTACTCGTTTTCACTGCACAACCAACAAAAATATAAGCTAGTGAGTTAATAAATGCTTTCCATATGGCTATATCACTTCACTTACAAGTCGTAATGTGATGAAATTCCATGATGGACGTTTTCAATTAGGTGATGACTACCGGATGGGCCACTTGTAAAATTCATATCCGGCCGGTACCCCCTATTAAATATATGAGCGTTAATACAAATTCAATACGCCAAAAATATACATAATTAACACAAATGAAAATTGAAGTTTACCACTCGTCTTGTGAATTATGGAAAACAGGGTATAAATTATTTTCTCGCTGCTCATTCGCCGGTGGTGATAAGTTTATATCAAGGAAAACTTTTTCATCCGGAACCTGTCCGGCAAAAATTGCTCCAGAATAACCACCCGATGACTAGGGGTTATCTTTACTACGCACAACCTTGTTTTTTGGAACGACTTCAACCTTCACGTACATCTCTAACATTGTGATTACAAGAAATTCCCAGCATTCGTCCGGAGTCCTTAGAAAATCACTCAAAGTTTCATCATCGTCGATGTTAAACTCCGAGTAAAAAGCAACCCCTTGCGGAGTGACGGAATACGGATATCTTCCAGTTACTTTAAGTATCACTAAACGTTTCCTCACACTCATTTTTTTGCATAACAACGATATCAATTTATCGTACTCTATTGTAAGTGGCAATTTAACATGACACTGAGCAGGTAAACTGTAGCCCACAGAGTTATTCTCCATCACAACCTCACTCCCCCAATATAATGAAACTCTTATTCTACGCTCTTCAGACATAATGAAAAAATGCTGGAGAATTTAACAACAATAAACGTTTCAACAACAGTTAAATTTTTTTTTGAATGAATTTCTATACAATCCTAACCTCTTTATATAGGAAATGGCTAGCCGGGATTTATATATATATATATAGCGCCCAAAAAGTTGGCACTATATGCTTTTGAATTATTGAAGTCACGAATTGTTGGTGGGGCCAGGAAAAAGGAGTATAGCGCCAAAATACCAAGCGCTATATATAAAACTTATGTATAGCGCCAGGTATTGTGGCGCTATACCTGTGCCGTGTCAGCTTTTACAATATAGCGCCACAATACCTGGCGTTATACATTAACAGTGCCGTTACTGTTAATGTATAGCGCCAGGTATTGTGGCGCTATATATAAAAATGTAACTTTTTTTTTCCACCAATTTATATATTTTGAGTCCAAAAGAACCACAATTGGGTTCCGGACTCTAGTTAGGTGGGTTTTGGTTTATGGCTTATGATATGTTGCTCGATCTATCTTGGGATAAACAAAGGCTTGTTGACTCATACGCGTTTTAATATGTTAATTCGATAATGGGAGTTTAAATTTTATGTATGGCCTGTGTAAGAAATTCTAATATCATCATGTTATGTTTTATTCGTATAACAAGTAATTTATTTTATTTTTAAGATTATAAATTTCATATTTTAAAAATTACATATAAATAGTCCTTAATTAATTGGTTGAGTTACATGGTGGGCTACCCTTGTGTTTGAAGTGAAATAAGATAATTATATTATATCCTGAGATTCGAGTAAAATAATTAAGGTAAATTATTAATTGTAATTCCTAATGCCCGCGAAATCATTTCCCTCTTCCTTCAAGCTTTAGCGGTTTATCTCGAAACTTCATTTGCCCTCTCATTTCAATTGATGCTCAACTTTTTTGAAAACAGGGAAACCTAGAAATGTCATCATCAGTCAATCCGGAAGAAGCCCAATGGAAAAACCCTAACATTTACAGCCGCAAGGAAAAATCCCTCGGTCTTCTTTGCGCCAAGTAATCTCTCTTCTCTCCTTTTCTTTTTTGTTGTATGCGTGAGATGCTTAGGTAAGTGTATCTACACTACAACGCGATCTTAGAACGAGACGATTATGTGAAATACATAGCAAGTATAGTAGTCGTGTAAGTGATAAATTGATGAGAGAATGTTGATCCCCCGGAGGATTACTATTAGGGTTTAAACTTAAATGATTTGACTGTTTTGTTAATTTTGAGATATTGAATTATGGACGAGGAGCACAATAATCTCAATATGGAAACCAAAGAAAACTCCGTAAGCAGACACGTGTACAGTCGAGAAGAAACTCAGTGAGAACTTATGTTAGGAGATAGAATCATCGGATGCCCATCTAATCTAGAGTTTGAACAAATATGATTTTCACTTGATATACAACATCCCTTCTCTGTTTTATGTTATAAATGTGGTGTCCGGACTAGCTCGTGCGCACCTCGATTAATTCTACTGGGTACCTGTTACCTCCAGATGGGAAGAAATCACCTACATTTTTGCCTCCGTTGGAGTCGAATGTGAGACCTCATGGTTCTAAACCCACTTCATTGGCCACTAGGTCACACCATTTGGTTAACTGCCCTTCTCAGTTAAATTTTTTCATCTTAACATCACTAACCCCAAATATCTCCTTCGACAAAGGCTTAAGATTAGCTTTATTAAAGATACAATAAGGTTTGGAATGGCTTCCATGGGACATGTGATTCCTAAAAAATCTAATTCTCTTTCCTATAGATTGGCTATCCCAATTATTCATACTATGGTGGCTCTCTTATGTTTAAAGCAGTAATTATGTCTAATTGGAAGGCGATGAGTTCAAGGTGTCTTAGGCCGTACCACCTACTCTTTTGATGAAGTAATGCAAATGTGTGCACGACTATTTACAATTGTTTCTCTTTGGTTAATTGCCTAAATCAGTTGAGTGTATAATTATTCTCAAATATAAAATTACCTAATCAATCTAAAGAATTTCTTCAGTCAATCCAAAACTAAACATATTTGGCATAATGATGCTTCATAATGGTTGATGTAAAATTTGGAAAATTTTGATAAATACAATCACCATGGAAGCAAATTGAATTCGAATTAATTACATCAACATTAGTTTCATACACTCCTAACTCAAAAAATCTACTCCATAAAGAATTAAACAAAACCAAGAGAAGTTTACTAGATATTATCATGATAATGAAAGTAAATTAGTGGGAAGAAAAACACATGGATTGAGAATGAAGACTTGATCCTTTCTTCTTCCGTCTTATCCTCTATTTGGGAGCTTCCTAAAGGGTTTCTCTTCAACTTGAAGCTCTAAATATGGTCTATGACCTCCTTGGATACTTTCTATCGGAACTTTCATGTCAAATTTAATAGAATGCAAGAAAGATGTTTCCCGTAGCGAATTAGGACTTTTCGCAGCCTTAATATGTTGGAGGGACACAACAATGGTTTTCTAGCACTGCTGCTCTGAGCCACTATTTTGCAAATCTAGTAAATTGGCCATGTCTCTTTGTAGAATATCAAAATTTGAATTGTTTTACAGTGCTGGAATCTAGACTTAATGGGCTACCATATTTCCAAAAATCATGGCTCAGCTCATTGGAATTTTTTCAATATCAATTGTTGAATTGAGAGATTATCTGGTATAATGATAGTATATTTTTTTGCCAAAACTATTTTGTTTCCTTCCTCCCGCAAAATTAGATAGAGATGTATGGAAGAAACCAATGAAATGCCTTATAAAACATAGAAAAACTTAAGCCAAAAATCTGGATTTTATCAATATAAAAACAACCATATCATTTCTATCTCTACTTTCTTGACCGGATAAGTTTTGTACTATTCAGTTTCTTGAAGCTGTGTGATCGGGAAGGAGTAGATTCCATTGGATTGGACAATGCTGCCGATCAATTAGGTCTTTGCCCTGTCTTCTCAGCTTTCAATCCTCACATTATCTTTCCAACTGTGTCACCACAAATATGCAGATTTCTTCTTGCATGTGTTCAAACAGAATCTTGTTGTGGTTGTAGGTGTCGAGAGGCGTCGCATTTATGATATTGTCAATATTTTGGAAAGTGTTGGGGTAATTCTTTATCTTTTCGTCTTCCTCTCATAAATCTATATGATTGAATGACTAAGGCAGTTTATTTCAGGTTTTGTCACGAAAAGCTAAGAATCAGTATAAATGGAATGGGTTTAGTGCAATTCCTAAAGCTGTAGATTTGCTTAAGGTAGTTTTCTTTCTGATAAGTAGATGTGCGTAATGTAGTTGGTATCCATTTTCCTGGTCTCATATGTACGTTTCCTGGGAATTTGATATTTTTTGCTTATTTTGTAGAAAGAAGGACTAAAAGATCAGTCTGTTGTCTCCTCCACTAGCCATAATGTTGCAAATGTATGTATACCATGCTTCTTTCTTCTTTCACCCTTCCCCACACCAAGGCATCTATATAGGGTGATTTGGAGTGGGACTGTTAGCAGTAATAGGGTTGAGTAATAGTTCAGTTATAGATACTCTCCAATTAGTTCACTCAATTAGTTATTTATTTTCTCAGCGATTGCATCATCTTCTTAGCATGATATAACACCGCGGACTTCTTCTACTAGGTAATAGCTTGTAATCATTCAGATCTCAAGGAAAAAGGGCAAGACAAGACTTCTGTATCACATAAAATTGGTGAGTTTCTTATCTGTAGGTGTGATTGTTGTGATTTTTGAATGCGTTCAATTCTTGATTTTTTTTCCAGTTGAGGGCATTATTCTAATATTCTGAAGAACTGCAGGATATCCTATGTCACATTCTGTATTTAGTGAGACTAACTTGATGTCTGATTGTGTAGACAACCGGAAGGAGAAGTCTTTGATGATTCTTGCCCAAAATTTTGTAAAGCTTTTCCACTGTTCTGATGTAAGTGGAGCCATAGATCTTCTGACCAGTTGCCAACTATAAGTCAGCTAATGCCTTAACTTCTTTAGGTTGACTTGATCTCTCTTGATAAGGCTGCATCAGCTTTGCTTGGTGATATGCACGATCCCATGGCTATGAAGAGTAATTCATGTTCTTGTTATGTTGCTATCTTTAACTTACGGTGAAAAACTTGATAGAAAAGTTGTTACTCTCTCATGAATATTTTGCAGCTAAGACCAGACGCTTGTATGACATTGCAAATGTTTTTGTGTCCATGAATCTCATTGAGAAGGTTGGTTATTGAATTTTACTGATCAGTAACTGAATATTCTCAAAATAGTGAAGTAGAGAATTATTTCTTTTGAGATTGATCTTTGCAATACATATGTAGATACGTAGTCCAGATAATGGAAAACCAGCATTTAAGTGGATAGCCTGGAGAGAAAATCCTAGGACTGGGTCCCCTGCAGCTTCTAAATCAGATGATTCAAAGAGGAGAACATTTGGGGCAGAGATCACAAATACAATTTCAAAAAGATGCAGGGCTGATTCTTCATCTGATCTAGTGTCAAATGGGCAGGTAAAGAGGTTGAAAGTTGCAAAAGATGATGAATTGAAAGATAAAAATCAGGAGATGTCAACAGAGCGGCTTAATGGACATGGTACAATGGATTTTGTATTTGGCCCTTTTGGTCCAGCAAGTTTGTCCAAAGCAGGAGTTTCTGGAAAAGAAAATTTGAAACAGACTCAGAATTGGGAGGATCTGGCTTCTACATATCGCCCTCAGTATCAGAATAAGGGTACTTTCTAAAATCTCATTTGGAAAAGTTAAAGCACCTATTATTCTACCCATTCCAAGTGAGTAGGGGAGGAGGGGTGACACCTATTTTGGTCTATATTCTCATACATGTTGGTCCAGAAGTTAACTCAGTTCGCAGGCTCCTCATATCAAAGCAGGGTCTTGGATTTGATCCTGTTTCTGCTCCCCTCTCCCCTACTTCTCCTCTTGAACGAAAGGAGGAAAAAAAAAGAAGAGAACAGAAAATATTATTCATACACTTAGGCATGCCACTTTTACTGTTTTTGGCCTCTTTTCTGGAAAAAACCCTGTCTTTAACATCTTAATCCACGAGACATTTAAGAACTAGCAGCTAATCATTAAAGATTTTTAGTAAGTAGACTTCATAATGTTGGGGAACGTATAAGAAATGCCACAAACAAAGAGAAGAAACAAGAAAATGCTACCTTTTATCACTAAGGCTTTTGCTTTTCTGAAGATTATACTCCAATTTGCTTGATGCTCTTTTTGTTGTTTTATATTGTATACTTACCAATTAATTAATTAGCATGATAATTTTGTTCGCCCGACAGTCTATAGCATGCTCTTGAAAAGATTTCTAGGTGTCAACTGCTTCTGCCATTTTAAAAACTACTTATGATAGACTACATTTCTCAAATTTAATTTATCCAATTTCTAGCACCCAATTTAGCTCCTACTAGAGTAAAATGTGCTTTTTTGTTCATGTGAACCTGTGTTTATATCCCATGTAGTTATTGCCTTAATGAAGAGGTTGAAATGTTTCCATTTGCCAAATGTTACAGCTGCAAGTGAGCTTTTTGCTCATTATGTTGAGGCATGGGAGTCGTGGCAGGTTGAAGCTGCCAATGAGCTGCACAAACAACATCTAAATTAATGCAATCTTGGATCTCTTTTATTTCAGGTGGCATCGAACACATTCAGCAGGAATATATCTGATGCTGTTACTCTCAGTTTCACTTGAGAGATTAGTGGTTATTGGTTGAATATCTCCTCGATACATCTTTCAGTTGAGTATGCAGCTAATATCAGATATCACCCCTGATGCTAGTTCTGTGCGGTACTGTTGTAGTTCCCAGTTTTATCTGGATGAGTTTCCACTTGCAAGGGCTCGAGCTTACTAGGTTGTAAAAGACAAATACCTGCTACCATTGATGATGTATGTGTGTTCAAGTTCCCTCACTCCTATTCAAACCTCTTGAAGCTTTCCAAACTGAAGTTGATACTTCTATTTAAATTTCATTGAGCTAAGTCGACTGTGTTGTAAATAGTATGCAGATATCTTAAATCTTTGCTTGTCATCTCACTTTGGAAGGAATGTACATCAGCAATTGAAATTTTTTGCATTTCATTCCAAGGTTGGAAGCGAGAAAAACTGTTTCTTCTGACAATATGCACTATGTTGGCCGACTTATATTCGACTTTGATATGGAGATTCAAATTAAGACGGGATTTGCGAAGAGTCATTCCTCGAGCTTCTCATACATGCACATTTTGCAGAATGGGTATACTTTTCTAGTTACATTATTTGCAACCTTAAGTGAATTTGACAGACTCTCTAAGCCCTGGTTACCCTAGTTAAGTGAGAACGAGTTGAAGGTTCGTGATCTTGATCATATTTCTAGATATACTTATTTTCTATCACACATTTTGTTTATTCATTCAATACATAGACTTGTGGTCATTTAAATTTATCCCAAGTGCTTCATTTGAACTCTTGATGCGGTAACTGGTAGCACACTTTGATCAACAGCAGCATGTCTAAAGAGCCAAATCCAAAGTAATGCTATTCATTCAATGATAGGAAATGAACAATTTTCCAGAAATAAAAAAACAACCGATAAATAGTATATGCAAAGATGTACCCTATTACAAGGGGGGAACTTGTATATGAAATTACAATTATTAAGTTTCTTTCAATATTTTTAGGCCAAAAACAGGCCATAAAAATGCATTTCAAGCCTATCTTTTTCAATGGAAAAGACAAAGAATAATGATGTCAATCCATGTCAAACTTCACTTTGGATCGCTAAAGAAGCCGTTGATATTTGGCATAATCTCTGGAGACTTGTTTCGAACAAACTTCCTAAGAGCATGCTCAGCATATTTCTCCCCTTCTGAAAAATTGTCCAACACCCCTGCTGCCCTGTTTTCCTTTGTCACTCTGAATTTTTTGCAAACACGAAGATATCAGTTAAACGACTGTTAAATGAAAAATTAATGCATTCGTTTCTAGCTGCACGTAGAAAGCAGCGTCAGAGCTGCATGAGTTCAATTGAATCCTCTGTATCGAAAAATAATATTTCTATATAAATAAATAAATTGGGAATCCCCTAGGCCTTGACACAAGAGACACTTCCGGCATAGTGGCAAAAGTGGCTCAAAAATTAATTTACGCTGCACGTTCTAATCTCAGGTATGACATACTTTTTATAATCTCCTTCATAGTATTCCAGACTCTTCCACGGACATAAAGATACAATCTAGTATAACACAACTTAAATTTGAGTGTTTTTCATTGCACAGCTGACGTTATACCAGTTGATTAACATATTAATTTCTACCACCAACAAACAAACAAATAAAATCAAACCAAAAAGGCAATATCCATTGACAAGACCAATTTTACCAGGCTTTCGTTCTTCCTTTTCAAGGTCTCACAAAAGAGAGATTAGTAACCTCAATCAATGCTCTACAAATCCTACCAGTTACATTCTAGAGGCTTTCCCTATTTATCATATAGTTGAAAATTGTCTAAGAAACTTAAGCTAAGAACGTTTCATATGCCTCCAGATCCTCTCTTCTCAGGTAACCGACATCGGGGCGGATCTAGTGTATCATTTATAGGTTAATTTAAAACCAGTAACTTTGGCTCAGACACTGTGTTAGTATTTGTTTAAAAAGCCACTAAATAAATGCAAATAATAAATCTTGAACCCAGTAAATCAAATCCTGAATCCCCAAATTGATCACTCAACAAAGCCTGAATTCTAAGCTATTTGGCTGTCGGATCATATGACTTCTCTATAATCAAGTCCGACCTATCCTGGCGGACTCAATTCATTCCAATACTAATAAATAACTCCAACGCTGACACAGAAGTCTTTGAACAGATCAAAAAGAGTCCAGCAAACACTGGATCTAAAATGAAAATTCATATCATATTTTACTGATGTTTTTCAAAAAAAAAAAAAGTACATGTATCCAATTGAGATTCAATGAATCATATATACCACAAATTAGACAAGGCATAGACGAAGATATATAAAGAGTGAAAAGAGGGTAGAAGCCTTAGAAGGAGTACCTGACTTCAGGATTGCCGCAGATATTACGAACCAATTGCATTCCACAGATCCCTACAGCAACGCCTACGGCTGCAAAAAGTGGATATACCTGTGCCACCATATAAATAGCATCTTCAGTAATTCAGATCTAATCATAAATCAATAGTAAACCCGAAAAAAAAAAATTCCCAAATTGATCCATAAACAAAATCGCCGATTTTCAGGGCAAATCAAAAAGAAAAATCAAATATTTATAAGGAGAAAAAAACAGACCTCGGGCCTCAACCAACGGTTAAGGGTGGAAGAAGCCATAGAAAAACGGGGAAGCAGAAGAGACGCTAACTTTACAGAAGACTATTTCGGTGATGACCTAACCTGTTAATTTGGTCATCTCTCCCGTATTTATATTCTCTCGAATAGGACTTCCTCATTGGCTGCAATTTACTAATTTATTTCAATTTACGAAAAGGCCCATTAACTTTTTAACATATTGAGATGTAATTTGTAGTAATTTTTGTTTTAATTATCTGAACTTGAAAGTTTCTAAAAAAGGTCACTCTAGCAATTAAATTAAATTAAAAAAGTGCCTCTAGCAATAAAAGCGTTAATTTACAATATAAAATTATGAAATGCAGACGATTGGACAGACCATAAAAAAGAATTCCAACTCGGTGGCTCTGCAACTTTCAAAAGCGTCGTGGTGCATCAACTATGGCACAACTTATTTGACCATTTGCTCGTGCCTCTAGATATGAAAAACACCTACGATTCTGATTTTTCTCCTTTGGACTTCTCCGCATGTCAAATACGTACCAAAGTAGTTCGGTACGATTTAATACTTTCTTATTTGATTCGGTATAGTTTTGGTATGGTTTCTCTATCATACCAAATTTAGTGTAGGAAGACCTTATACTTAGCACACCTAAGAAGAAACAACGACCTTTGACATATTCAAATCATTTTTTATCAAACGAACTCACTGAACCGAGCGTTTAAAAAGGGAGCAATCCAAAATCACAAGAACAAAGCAAAGTTTATATATACACTACACCATCGATGAATACATCACAATATATGGATAAGCAGATCATAGCAGTATTGGGGCGTTGGGCAGTTGGCTTGGTAAAAATAGCATGGTCTGGCCATTTTTCGGAATGATCATTCAAAAATAGCCAGCATTTACCAAGTCATTAAAAAATAACCACTATTTTGCTGCAATAGAGACTGGTCCAACATAATATACTAGAGTTCAGTGCACCTGTGTATGAACTTCCAGCATATTATGCTGGACCGATATACTTTGCTGGCTCCAATATATTATGCTGGAGTATTTTTTTGGATTTTGAACAGTATTTTCGTTCAGATTTATCTTTACATGAAAAGTGGCTAAATTTCGATTACTTTTGAAACTGTGACTATTTTTGAATGACCACTTATAAATCTGACTATTTTTGAATTTCTCCCCTGCAATTGGGGTGTAAGTGTTGGGCTTAATTTTATTGGGCTTGAAAATAGAAATAGAGGTGGGCTTGTTAGTGTAGCACTTAAATATTTGGTATTTTGGTATATCAAGTACCGTACCGAAATACCAAAAAAAACTATACTGAAGAATATCTAAATACCGAATAAACTGATACTGAAATACCAAATTAGTTCGGTCGGAATTCAATTTTTCGAATTTTATACCACCCCACACTAAAGAAACATTTGTCTATAAAATTTGGCAAAATGCACAGAAACTACCGGAGACATGATCCAAGCCCATTAAAAGAAAAACATAAGAAGAGTCTGATAATGACTTTAACGGGCCTTAAGAAAGAAACTTAAGTGATCGATGGATATCTGATTAACACTTTTCTTTTATTGTTATCTTGTCAACATATTTTATTTAAACACTTTAATTAAAGCATGTTCCAATCAAGGACCTGAGTATTTAATATAAACTGTCATATTTTCAAATCTCTAAGTGCCAGCCCATCTCACTTGATGACAGAGGTGCACATGTTTAATGTGAAATTGGTGAAACAGACAAATTTATTCATTGCACTTCTGATATGGGTTTCTGCTTCTCTTATTAATCTAACACTCACCAACATTTGCAATTTAGCACTCCATCACTTTTTAATTAATTAATACTACTAGTTAATTAGGCACCCCATACAAATAGGCAGGTGCATTGCAATAATCGGCACGTGCCTCCCTTATAATAATGAGTCACCTTACGATTAGAGGCGGAACCATGATTTTAAGCTTATGGGTTCGGGATTCTAGCTCTTTTAAGTTACTGGAATTTGTATATATTTCATGAATTTCACAAGACAAATACAGAGTCTGCTCAAAAACTACTGGGTTCGACCGAACCCGTAAGCGTAAGGTTAGCTCCGCCCCTGCTTACGATTGTCATTTCATGTTGTAAAATATACATGCATAGTTAACTTATATATCTTAGACTTGAGGAGGATCGTTGTTTTCAGTCGCCCAATGTTTGTTATATATTTTTTTAATTAGTGTTAGGATTAATTTGCACGTATTTTTAAATATTTTATCAGATATCTACTACTAATTTCTTACTATCACAAAAATCGGGTAATTCTATCACTAAAGTTTATGCAACAGTTTGTTCTATTTATAGAGGGTATTTATTAATCTTAATGTGAAATGAAACCTTCGTTAAACCGTGCCGTGTCCGCAGGAATTGACAACGTTAGCTCAGTGTCAAATAACATAATTCCGTCAAATAACAGTTATTCCGTCAAATAACTGTTATGCAAATAGTCGTCCAATGGACTAATTCGTAATGTGTTAAGAGACGTGTGTTTTCGTTTTGATTATCAAAAGATAATAGTAACAAAAAACAACTGTCTTTTGGTTCGTTAGAGTCAAAAGTTGAATGCCATTCATATAGTCATTCAATGAAACAAAATGAAAAAAATGTATTTTGTTTATCTATAATCGTGATGCCCGAATTATTTTCTAATCCCACTAGTCGGCTTAACTCACTTCATTAACGACTAGGCTATATATTATTACACGATGAAGAAAAATTCTATAAATGTGATATAAGTTT